ATTGGTTCAGTATACAATTATATATTATAATACCTTATCGAGATTAATATTTAATATGATTTACGGATACATCGTGGGTTCCATACTTTCCAGAATTTAGGATTACCTATAAGTGATGAATGATGATAATAAAAAAAATTCTGGTTAGGCAGAATTTTTTTTATTATCATCATTCATCACTTATAGGTAATCCTAAATTCTGGTTAGGCAATTGAGTAAAATATTTTTTTGCTCTTCCATTCTTACCACTAAACGAAGTGTTGAATTATTTTAAAAACGACTTTATTAGTATACTTATATATAGGTATATATTATATATATTCAACCAGAAAACGAGCAATTGGAAAAGTTGACTGATTATTTATTTAAAAAATAATATTCATCCCGAAGCAAAGTTACCTTTAAAATATTAAGGTCTGAATTTAAAACTTCAACAATAAGAACTCTACAAACGCATGAAAATCATATCTCATTCGCACTTCAACTGTAGAGACAGTTTTTTTGTGAGAACGAAAATTATTTTTCTTGCGACCTAACTAGTTGTTATTAATAGTGATTTTTAACATAGGGTCCGGTTATAATAATATTTGAATCATGGACCCACCTAGTATGCGCCGATTTAAACATATAGGGGAGTAACGACAAAAAGAAAAAAATTGAGTTTTCTGACATAAATGTAATTTTAACAATGTAATCATTATTGACTCGTGTTATGTTTTGTATATTTTAGCCCTGAATATTAATCTGAATCGAGGAAAAATAAAAAAGTTCAGGCACAAACAACCTTTTACGATTACACGATAATTAAATCAATGCCTATAAATCGAGTAGGTAAGACGTATCAAAATAGCTTAATTTGAGATCGACAACGCAGTATATTATAACATTATATTTTTGTTAAGTTTTTTTTGTCATTTTAATTAATCATTTCTTACAAAATTTTCGTAAATGTTGCGTTTTGATAAAACATTAGTTTAATAATTTGCCTAAATATAAAAACAAAATTAATTAATGTTTCATTTTTGTAGTTTCTAGATACGCATAGGTACACAAATAATATTAAATATTATACTTGAACTTTGTGATTGATCAATAAATGTAAATAGGTAAATTTTTAAGCAAAAAATGAACTTTCCGATATTTTCAATTATTATTAAAATCAATCTATAACTCAATTTTGATAAAAATGGAAATATTTAATATACCACTTATACGACTTGGTGCCCGCCCTTCAATTAACGACATCAGTTTATGATTGGATTTCGAAAAAAATAGTTTTTATTTTAACAACATAAAAATAATTAAGTTAGCAGCTAAAATTTAATGTGAAATTAATTGTTTCACGTCTGTACAAATGTAAAAAATGCATGCTTGTAAGTACTACATATGGGCTAGTCAGTGGCGTATTTTGAAATTTTTTCTGGGGGGGGTCTAAATATTAGGTACCTACAGGCTACAAGTTTATAATATAAAAAAAACACATACGAGTTACGATGTAATAATTATATTATATTATATTTTTTTCTGGGGGGGGTCCAGACCCGGGGACCCCCCCCGTAAATACGCCACTGGGGCTAGTTGATAATTATTATTGTGCGTGGGGGCCAATCATAAGCCAGACGGTGGTACATATTGTGTAGGCAATGGTAGAAATATACCTACCTATATGTACATAAAAACGAAGTGTTTAGTGGTGTTAGTATGTAATAATTTTTTTGCCGATTAATATTTTTTGAAAACGATTATTATACAGCTGGACGTATTTAGAGTTACCGTTATGACCGATAGATATTACAAATTACAATAAATTGCGGTATTTTTTAGTTCACAGTACCTAGGTATATAATATAGGTACTCAGAAATCCACGATGGCCAATCATTTATGTGTTGGTTGTTATGTACCTATGATTTGTTATTACAATATGATACTTAAATCAGCAGGATTCCGACCACGGATCGAATCATATATTATAGTCTCAATGACGTTTGTTTGACAATGGCAATAATAACAACAACAAAAATAGATAAAAAAAAAACATTCAAATTTACTGTAGCTCGCGATCTTCTAATATTCTACCAGTATACATTTTACATAATATTGTACAATATTATATACATATATCATATATGTATACAGGGGCAGCTCTTGGCATGTGCCCCAACTAAAATTACTTTTATACCCGTCCTTATAATTTGTGCAGGTAATAAACTTAAAAATGTTTGTTCATGAAGGTAATAAATATAATTTTTTTTTTTTTATTTTTGGATTTTAAGTCTTTAGACCTGGAAACGGTTGCTAACAAATGTTTTACTTTCCATAAAAACAGAAGAAAAATACTGACTTAATATAATGTTATATTCATATATTATAGTAATGTTGGTTAATTTTTGATTAAGTTAATAAATAAATCAATAGTAACGAAAATTGTAGGTAATACATAATGACTAATTTTTTAAGTGCCCTATATGAAAAAAAAATATATAGCCCGAAGTGCCCCCCTCCCGTGAAAAATATCAATTGACATATCACTGGGTATAATAATAGACAGTATATTATAGTATGCGTGCAACAGGTGTCGTCATCGATATCATAATATAGAATAATTTATAATACTATAGAAATATTGAAATATTATATACATAACGTAAGATTGTTTTATATCTATACGCACGCGTAAGTTTGTAATTAATTATGTCGTATAATCGTTCAAATTTCAAAACGTCGATGACGTCTCGTCGTCTCCTCGTGCGGTTCAAACGTCTCAAAATTAATTAACGAAACGTATTTATGTGCGCGTATCGGTATAATATTATTATAAATGTATAACGTTAATATAGCGTATAATGTAGATTGAATTGTAATAATACAATGATAATAATAATAATCTTTATTGCAACAATAGAATATAATATACAATATTTACAAAAATATGAGTTAAATATTGCAGCACCAATTATAAGCGAAGGGGGTACGGTTCTTATTATTTAAAGTAAATACATAATGGATATATATTGAATAATAATTAATTTAAAAACAAAACAAACAAATTAAAATAAGATTTTAATATAACTAACAATAATATAAGAAAATAATTGAAATAATTACTATTATAAATTATTAAAATTACAGACTAGTTACTAGTTAGATCTAAATGTTTTACTATAATTCTAGATAAAATATTATTTGCGGCTCCTTCCCTGCAAATGGAAATACCATAAGACTAAACTGATTGAACTAATGCTAGAAAAATTATTCTTTTATAATAATTATTAAATATATATCTAGCTTCTTTAAAGAAGTAGAGTAATTTACGTTAAGTATTATTAATATAATTAATATGACTTTCCCATTTAAATCTATAGTCAACAACTATCTCAAGATATTTTATTTCATTTACCTTTTCAAGAATAATACATTTAGAAGTACAACTGTACAAGTTGTACTAAGATAATAATTACATTTTAACGAATGGACGATAAGGTTATTTCTTAGCAAGCAATTCGATGCTTGCTGTTCAAAACAAATATCTTTAGTATAAGTACTCTGGTTTTGATACACTTTTCAAAAATGTTTGACAAAATTAATGATAATGATATGGGATGGTAATTTCCGCATGATAATTTATCTCCTGCTTTGTATAATAGTATAGGTATACCTACCTAACTATACATTTTTATAGGTTGCAGGATATTTACCCGTTAATAATGAATGATTAAAAATAATGGATAAAGGCAAAGCAATAGAATTTGAAACATTTTTGAGGATATAATTTGTCAGATTATTTTCGAAACAAGAATTATGATTTTTAATTTTACCAATAAGTTAAATAATTTCATCCTTGTCAATTTGTTTTAGAAATATACTTTCATTAATGCCAGTGGCATCTTGAGTGTTATATAAATTATAAAGTGTTACAGTAAATTCTGTAAGCTTCAAGTATATTAATTTCCGTTTTCGTTTTCTTCCCAATTTTTTCAACAAAATTACTAACTTACAATTTTCATTTATAGTCTTAGATATTCCAGTATATCAACTGTTAAACCTAAATTAAATTGTTCGATTTCTTCGATAACAATAATAATATTATGATCTCCGTCGGTTTACATACGATACAAACATACCCAAACGCTTAAGCGTTATAAATGTCAATTAACTTATCGACTTGGTTTTGTCTTACGATCTGGTAATTAAAAATAATTGTAATAATTAATAATATAGGTAATCGTGCAATGTCGTCGCACTTTATGTGCTCACACTCATGTAATCGTATTATTGTATTATATACATACCATGTTGGAGTTTGACAGCATAAGTACTATATTGTAACTTGTAAGTTGTAACTTGCATTGTGCGCAGTACTCTACAGATTTAATTCTGTGATTTTTATTTCTCATCATTCCTGACCATTTCTATTATAGTATTATCTATATTATATAACATATAACGGTATAACATATATATAAAAAAAGTTTTAGATATTGTAAAGACTGTCCATGTACCTATGCCTATTTTACACATTTAATTTTCAACAAATAAAAACATCCCCCGAAACATTTACCTGCTTATACGTCTCCTCACTGTACCTTATAAGTTATAAGGTATACCTACGTCATGGAAATAAATAATTATATAATCGATCATCCGCTTAGTAGTATATTGAAAGCAGAGCTTGAACTAAGGAGGGACGTGGGGAGACAGTCATCTTTTTCAAAAATATTAATGTGTATCTACCCCATCTAATCAATAAAACACTTTATATTCATTCAAGTAAGCACATTTTTTTTTTTAGTATTTTTATACTATTTCATCCCCCTTCTAATTATTTCCCAGACCAAACACTTTATATAAGTACCTATTACTACCACAGAATACATTCATCTATTCAGTGTTACTTCTATTAATTTATATAATCTATAGTCTAATATATGAATAATATATATATAGTTAATATCCATATTGCAAAAGTATAATGTTACCTATTATAATTTTTTTTCGACAGGTGGTTGTGCAATGTTTGGCCATTCCTGTTATGGCGCCCATGGTAAACGATCTTTCCAAATATCAGGACCAGCTAGAGATTGGCCAGCTACAAGACGTGAAGAAGAGATCGACGACGCCATAAATAAGTATTTAAAAATAAAGCTATCGTCACCGCACTTTACTCAATCTCCATTTTGGCAAAAAATGGTGAGTTTTAGTTCTTATATTATGGGTACGGATTTTCCGAAATAATAATAACTATAAATAATAGTACAATCCGAAAACAGATTTAATTACATACCGAGTCTGGGAATGTATTTTATTAATGACGTCTTACACATATTTTATAAAGTATTTCAAATTGTTGACATAATTAAACAATTCTTTTTCTATCATATAATATTTTGCAGTTTTACAATTTTTTTTCTACTACGTGAAAATATGCAGTAAACAGTGGGGTCATTTCAGTTTATAAGAGGGGGTGCAAAATGTTTGATTCATATAACTAAAGAATGTTGCAAATGCATGATACAAAAAGTGTATTGCTATATACATTTTTTAAATAAAATAGTTTTATAATATTTTTTTAATAATTTGGACATAATGCTGTAATAAATACCCATTATAATATTTAAATGATACCTATTCAATATTCATATTTTTTTTTTTTTCACTGATACTTTGGTTATTTTCCGTTTGAAGGAGATTTCCTTCCTTATAGGGGGGTCCGATATAAGGAGGTTTTACAGTAATAGTTGTACCTTTATTTTTATCGATCAACGTTGCTCGAATTGATTCATTTGTGTAACTTTTAAATATTTACGTTTTGTGTAAATGTTCTTACTAATTGGTAATAATTATATTATATTATGATGTATGACGTGCTGTAGTGCTAAAGTACTACTGAGTACTGACCGTTTATGAGGACGTCACACGACGTGTCGACTCCGTCTAACAAACATACACATGGCAAATTCAGTCAGAATTGGCTTGTTATCAACCTTAGATTTTTTTTTAATTTTTTTATTGAACAAAATTTAGTATATTTACAAGTTATACAATGGGTAAATTTTATGAGTTTTTTTACGGGAAGGGGAAGTCGCCCATTGACGGCACCCCGTGAACCTTCAAGTTAAATTCAACATTATATTATTATGTGTTTTCTCGTGGATTCGTATATGATATTTTAATTTTTAAGCAAGATCTAAATAATATGCAAAATATTACAATTAAACAATTCTCATTTAACTAGCGAGAAAAACCCGTGAGAAACCACATATTAAATAATGATCTCGACTTTGATAAGTTTGGTAATATAGGTCACTTCGATCTACAATATTGAAGGTTGCAAAACGAAATTGATACCTTTGAGCACATGACATTTGCCGCATGTTGTACAAGGTTGTAAATTCAGAGACGACACGCGCAGGCGGTGTGGCGTCCACTTCTAAATTTGCCCGAAAAAAATTACTACCTAACGAACGGGCGTCGATCTGTTACAGGTGCAGATGTACGAGCGCAAAAACAACCATCCTAACAACGACAGCAACATGTGAAGACGGAACCGATCGACAGATTGAATCTGTTTTTGTTTTCTTGATTCGGACACACATAATATTCTCATTGTCGGCAGACATATCGATTAGACTTAAAAATCCCTCCACAAAAAAATTAAAACAAATTTTCCCTCGTCTCATTATATTTTGTAATTGCGCTGTACTATGTTATATATACGTATAATGATGATAGTAATATTATAATAACAATATAATATTATATTATTATTATTATTTATAATATTTATTATTATACGATGGTATATTTTGATAAGATCAAGTAATAAATCGTGTGTTACCTATATTTTAATATTATGTTTAATTTATCAAAATCAAAGTATGTGCCCTTACCCATATATACAATATACCTACATACAAAATAGTATATTATGACCTTATATAATATAATCTAATAGTTTTCCTGATTTAATAACAATAATATTATGTGGTTTGGACATTATAATATATAATATAATATTATTTATTGTAATTTGTGATTACTGAATTTCTGAATATTATAACATATTATTCACTATAACTCCTATATAGGAGTTATAATATAGTACCTATTGGCGCAAATAGGGAGCTTGATGGGACTTATACTGTTCTGAGTTCTCAAATAAATATTATAAGGGACTTGAGCTCCCCCCCCCCTACAAAAAAACCTATTTGTGACTATGCCTATATTATTAAAAATATTGTACTAAATTGTATAATAAACAATAAACGTACAGACAAAAATACAATTCCTGCGTAACGTGTAAATTATTGCTTATTATTATACTTATTAATTTCGAGTATATGCGTGTATGTCTTATTGTAAATATCTCGCGAATATTCGAGAAATACCTATCTAAAATAAAACAATTATTATTAATTATAGTGCGTACCTACCCATATAATGGTATTATACCGCCAGTTAAACTATATTTTACTAATATCATTTATTAAAATCAATTATCAATACTATATTTAATCAATGCTAATATGTATGTTATATTTAACAGTGTGTGTCATTTTGTTTTTGTGTGAGGTTGATTGATCTCGAGTTTATGCGTTTTAAAAACTCACAATTTATTGACACTATAATATGTCAAATATGTCAATATGTGCGAATTGAATACTCAGGACATATAAATATGCAGACTAAACAGACATTTATTATTAGCAAATCTTTTATATTTTATACATTTTGGAAAAGGGTTTTTTCCTCAGCGGACAATATTACAATGGACACCTACAAGCCAGGGCTTTGCACCCGAACGTAACTCGAATTAACCCAAATAAATATCATAACCCAAAACCCGTATAAAAAACCGATTAAAAAAAATTAACACCCAAAACAAACCCGAAACCCGAATTATTGAAAATTAAGTGGCATATCAATTTGTATGTATTTTTTGCAACTGACGCGACTAAGAAGATAAGAAGATAGTAGTGTAAGTGTGTAACGGATAACTAATTTTTTTTTTGTAACCTACAAAATAATTAATTACATATTAAAAAAGACATTGGTGCTAACTGCTAGATGATTATTTTATTTTATTTAACAATATTCAATAATAGACAATAGTAATTGTGTTGTCTAACATTCTTAATCAAAAATAAATATAACGAAAATACGTTTAGTTAAAAATTAAAATATGTAATAAGCCAGAACTTTCTTCAGTAGAAAAAGGACTGAGTAAGTACTAAGTAATAAGTAATAAACTAATAACTAATAAGTAATAAACTAATAACTAATAAGTATTAATATTTAATTTTATGTTTTAATTTTTTTCATTATGTTTACTTTAAATATAAAATCAGATTACTATATCAAATTTGCATTGAAAATCTCATGCCAATTGATATACAACAAGTGTATTTTTAACACCCAAATTAACCATAATTAACCCGAATAAATTTGCATTTAACCGTAACCAGAAAAGTGTATTAACCCGTACTACCCGAATTCAATAACTCGAATTTTTTTTTCAACACCCGAAACCCGAAAAAATGATTCCGGTGCAAAGCCCTGCTACAAGCCCCTTCCCAAGCCTGTATTTCTAAAAAAAGTATTTATCGGTTATCGAGATTACCTTAAAAATGTTAAAAAAAAATATAATTTTATAAAAACTAAGAATAATTAATAATTATATAAATTGTATTGTATAAAAAAACTATATAAAAACTAGGAATAATTAATAATTCATTCTAAGAGGTAAATGCTCATACATGAAATTTAAAATTCCTATAAATCAGTGACGTATTCGGGGGGGGGGGGGTATTTGCCCCCCCTCCCACCACTAGAGGACCAAGACTTGTTTTTTTTACTGTTTTGTGGAAGCTGTAATTATAAGGTAAATTCCATTATTATGACTATATAGGGATAGGACGTACTCGCCTATCATGCGTTCTCAGTTTCCACCGCGATTTAACTATTTATGATAAGATTTATAATATCTTAAATGGTGGTTCCCACCAAATACGGTACCTACCCAATTTTGTAATTAACGTCAATAGGTACCATCAGCGGCGTATTTAGAAATTGCTAAAGGGAGGGGATGAGGCACTGAATGAAATATGTAATAGTGGGGGGCTTTGCCCCCCACACCCCCCTTTGAGGTTTCCTATACTTACTCACTACATACTGTACAGTTTACATAACATTATTAACATTTAATACCAATTATTATTCATTAATTTTAGTTTATAACAATAACATATTGATTATTTTTCATTAGATTTGAAATAAATTTCAATTTTTAATTTACACTCAAAAAATATTCTTAGACAATTCACTCTTTAACAATTACCATCCTACTATCACCACCTATGTCCAATAACACAATAATACATTTAGTATAAAAATAATAGTATCATAAATATTTATTTTTACTATAATAAATAATAATAATTACATACTCATACTTTCATTACTTTATACTTATAATACAAAATCAAGTTTTCTTTGTTTTATTGCTAATTGCTAGGTAGTTCATCAATTACTTCGTCAATACTTATGTCCAGTGGCGGCTCGCAAGTAAATTCATTGGGGAGACTGAAAATTTAATAATAAAAAAAAATGAACCCAAAAAAGATAAAAAAAAAACCTTTTTTAATTATTATAATTGATAGCTTTATAAAAATTATAAGAATAGATAATTATTAAATAATTATAATAATTTAATTACTAGGTACACGCTGCTATACAATGTCAAATAGCTAAATTTAATAGTCTAATACGGACGCACGACACGCTGCATTTTTCGTGTTTACAGAAAAATACGTGACGACCGCAATGCGAACGGCAAAAACTTTGAATGAGTCTAGTCTCAATGTACTGAATAACATCTATACAATCTATCCCCGTCCTCCGCCTTGTCATGCATAACAGCATAATATGCAATTTGATTATATTACATAATTGAGTCTTTCGGACGGCAGACTCTCGAACTAACGACCGTCGTCGTTGTCGCCGTCGTCGTCGTTATCGATATATTTAGCCTGTATTGTTATCGATATATTTTTATATTGTATTGTTATTGAATGACACTCATTATTAATGTAAAAATAGAATACAAAATATTATCAATATTAATATCGAAAACCATGATAATTATTTTCAGAATGGATATAACATAAAAATATTAAATTATAATACAATTTTGTTCAAACTTTTTTATTGCGTTACTACTTTTTATTTTTATGGGGAGTCGCCGTCTCAAAGACTCCCCTGACGAGCCGCCACTGCTTATGTCTACTGTACGATGAACAGATAATAGCACTAGTCCATTAAGAGTTAAGACGTTCCTAAGGACAATACAAATAATTAATAATGTATAACATTATAAATTATAATTCTGTATAGCAATATTAGAAAATAATATAAGAAAAACCTCATTCATTGAATTTCGCGGCAGTAAGATTTTAAGCGTTTTAGTGTGGAAAAGCTCCGTTCTGGTGTTGCTGTAGAAACAGGCAAAGTAACTAATATTTTAAATAAGAAATGGATGTTTGGATAAATATCTTTATTGCAGTCTTGTAAGGTTTCTAATCCATTTTTAGTAAGGTTTTCACAGCTTGAAGCTAATTTGAGTTTCCACATTTTCAGTTCAGCCAAAACATTGTGTTTATCGATAACAGGAGAATATAAATCAATTAACTTTTGAAATTCTGTTACTATGTTCCAGGACGTTTTGCTGACTTCACGTGAATAGAACTATAGCCACCCCCTGCCTTGACTACAGTCGTGTCTAGCTGGTATGTCGAGTGCAGCATTTATACAGAAAACGCACCATTTAGGACATTGCGGAGTTTGAGTAGCGTAAAAATAACAGTCTATTAATAACCTTATAATTGATTTTTTTCTTACTGTATGTACAAAAATGAAAAATACATAGTAAATACTAAAACAAATTGACGATTCAGTGTCTATATATGTATACTTCAATCCTTTAATAATAGCAAAAAAAAAACCAAGGGGGGGATTGATCCCCCAAATCCCCTCCGTAAATACGCCGCTGGGTACCATAGTCCATGTTCTGAGTTAATCATAGTCCATAGAAATAAAGTATAGAACCTAAGTTGTAAAATATATATCTTATAGTCCGTGGTTTTAATCAATACATCTTGAATCAAAATCAATAATCAATATTCTGTGATAATAGTTTATTCTTATTATACTTATACTAAAAGTTAATACGTCTTAATAGTTGATTCTGTATTTCTGTTCATCCGTTATTCATCTATTATATTAATGAGTTTCATTACGTATACTAAGTTTACTACATAGCCTTTATGCTAACATCTCTTGCTGCATTATTAATTTAAGCAATATTTCACTTTAAATTTTAAGTCTATAAAATAACAAACTTACCTACCTATGTTATGCCTTAAATGACCACATATAACTGATAATGTTTTAGTATAATTTTAATTAATAGTTCATAATATAATTTTCTCATCTGCTATAACCGACCAATTGCACACTTATGTCCAAATAGTGACTTGCTCATTTGCTTATCCATGATAATTTTGTAATTTTGTTATGCTTTTGCTTTTTCAACTTAGGTTAAAAACTTGGTTGCGTTCGAGTATGGGACAAGATCGCTTAGTTGGATTGGCTTTACTAAATAGTCATAGACACAGAGACATTCAAATAGATGAGGTCATTGATATGTTTGCTGCCACGAAAAAAAGAATCATAGACCTTATATTATAATTATTTTGACTACCTATTACTATAGACTATATTATATTCAAATTTAAACTTTTGATTAATAAATAAGGTGCTTTTATTATGTTGAGTTTATTTTGGATTATAACTGAACCAGTTTGAACTAGCCTAAAACCCTAACCAAATAAAAAAAAAATTAACTATTGAAATCAAATTTCCTTATATTTTAACAGCTGAGAGATTTTCGTATTTTGCCCCCCCCCCCCTGAAAAATTATCAGAGATACATTCTTTTTTTTAAAAGAAGGGTGGTAAAATCCAATAGAGGCAGCATCAAAACCGTTAACTAGGCCAACAAACCCCCAAATACATCTCTGGATATACCTACCTGTACCAAGTTAGTATGACCACTGCTTGAAATACTAGTGTACTCTGCATGAATTGTACTTGTCACATTAATGTTTGTATTGTAACCTGTCGATGTAAAAGCTGGCAAAGCTCTTTGACAAATTTTTAACAGGTTTCCAAAATAATTATTTAGAAGTTTTACTTTGAGCGCCATTTAGGTGTCACACAGTGTGGCATTTGAAAAAGAATATTAACATTTTTAATATTGGTCCTAATTTGTCTCTCTTATAACAGTTGGAAAAAATTATTCCAAACATTTTATAATAATCATACAATTATATTAGACCAAGTAATAAAATTATGTTTTGAGTATAATGTTATGCATATATTGTCAATGGCATTGATTTAAGGAGAATAATTTAAGCAATTTCTAATCTGGTCGCCGCTACCCGAGATCTATGGGTTAGTCGTAAATGATTATTAGTGTAGCGCCCATACGGGTCAATTGTAGCGGTACAGAAGGCTTTTGCACGCACATGTCAGTATTTAATATTGTGATCATGAAAAAATGTTTATTTTTCATTCAAACATACGATTCTAATTCCAAGTGGGATGAGTATGCTTACACAATCACTGTTTATATTAGATAAACATTAGACATTACACATAAAATTATACATGGAACGCTTAAAACTATATGGAGACAGTAGTCCCCCCAGGAATTTTTTCCCATTTTAAGCTCTGACTTAATAGAACTTTTATAGGCTATTATAGTTATTTATATATTTTTTTTACTTTGAAATAACGTTAAAATAATCTTTACATATTTTTTTTAGATTTATAAAACCAACAGAATTAGTATTTAAAGTGTACCTGGTCGTCCAGAAAACTATTTTCCTCTATGAGATTTACTATGTAGGACGTAGGTGTACTATGCAGGAAAACATAATGTAATAAAATGTGTGTAATTAATTCGCCAATTTATATCATTTATTTTATACAACTCAAATTCAAAATATTGAGTTGTTTGTGACAATTCAAATAATAATTCATACCTAAAACTAATAACCGTATCTAATAAATTGAATATAATTCAAAATATATTAATATAATTATATAATATCTAATGGGTAAATAGTCGAGATAAACTTATTGAAATAATATTTTGGTTTAACTCGTAACAAAATGAAAACTATCTAAAATACAGCAAAAAGTATACAATTAAATCTTAGGGTTTATAAACAGAAAATATTTAATAAGTATCCATGTTTGTATCTAAATATATATCTGTCGTATACAATCAATATATATTTATATACGGTCAATGCACAAAAGTTTTAACAAGTTTTCGAAAATATTGGACCAATTTTGTCGTTAAGTAGAAAAATAATGGTATAAATATTATTACTATATGTATATAATATATATATATTGTATATCAATATTGCATTAAATTAAATCAAATTTTTTGGACACAAAAAACAAACAAATAAAATTAAAATATTAAAGAAAATAAATATTTGAAGAATAAATAAAAAAAATAATAATATAACAACAGTAGTAGGCTATCATCAATTTATAACAAAAAAAAAAAATAATAATAATAATAAAAATAAATGTATAAGGAATTGACTAAAACCGTGTAAGTCAACCAAAACAAAAAGTAAACAAAATGCCCACTCAATTTCTTTTAATTTTTTTTATATTATTTCAGCTACACCGTCACCCAAATTATTGTTTCGCTTGTTTTTAATTATTATTTTTTTTTTGTTTCATTTTATTTTTTTTTACAAACACCAACAGAAACTTACGATATCAAGTCTTGTCTCATGGAAAGAGATCATATTGTTTGTTGTTGTTTTTGTCCTAACGATAATTTACAATTAATATATATTATCATACAATAATTTCATAAAATAAATTTACACATCATACTCAAATAGTACTTTAAAAATAATTACAAAAATAGCGTGCTGCAATCTACGGCACAAATTATTTACATTAGTTTTTTTTTTAATTACGTGCTATTATATATTTATAAATCTATTTAATATATGAATAATATATATTATGTGTAAAATTTGATCCTATCACAGAAATTGTGTACAGTTTAATATGGGCAACATAACAATTATTACTATTATTATTATATAAATTATCGTGTCTGACGCGACAATTGTTAAAAGTAAATAAAAAATAAAAAAAAATGGTAAAAATACTTATATGGCTACAACTGTATCAGTTCATCCATTTGCGGCAGTTGGGAGCACCGCAGTTGCACGGAATCTTGTGTTGATCATCTTCAATGTCAAACTGGTAGTCATACGCAAGCTGGTATGCCATAAATTAAAACAATCATTAGTAAATTTCATAATTTTTAATAAATTGTAAAAATTAAAAAAATGAATAATAATTGTTCTTCTTTTACACTCACCTCTTCGCCTCTAGCAATCCTTCGCTTGGCAAATATTATAATTCGCAGCTCTCGGTCTACTTCTACTTTTTCGGTAACACAGTTAGGATTACATGAGTGATTAATATAACGAGCTAGACCTCCACTTATAGTAGCATCAACCACCCGATCGTCATCCAGACGGAACATGTATATACCGCGATTCTAAAATAGTAACTCACACATTAATCTATGTAATTTAAAGAAAAATACTTTGGAGAATATTACCTTAGCTTCGTAAAGTTTCTCTCTATAATCACACAACTGTGATCGGATAATTTCACCAATGTATTCAATAACCATAGTATGTTTTTCTAAATCTCTAGCAGCGTACAGTCCCAAACCTTGGATTTTAGACCTAGTAGGAAGTTAATTTAGAATAGTATACTAAAGTAACTAGAATTATTATAGTTCGATTGAATTATTTTAATTTACCTGGCTAAGTACACATTGTTTCTCCATTCCTGTTTCATTTTTTTATATTGCGAGGATTTTGAATGAACAAAATGTTTAGAATACGGACAAGTAGGGGGAGCTGATAAGTCTAGTTGACTCAATAATGATGAACCGTGAGATGATGTAAATGATCTAGGAATGTGTGATCGTAACTTCCCAGGAAGAACTAGTCGTCTACGGCCCTCACAACGAGCACATCCACTTGGGTTGATAGCTAAAGGAAGTTCTAGAAGAGGATTACGACCATAACGGAAACGGTAATCAGATTGAGTCTCAATGCCTGTATAAATTTCAAAACAATTTGTAATAAATAGCCCCAATTGAAATTAAATAATACTTAATCAATATTAATATTGACTTGACTATTTTGGTTTACTCTCAGATCAAAGAGAGAAGGTACATGTTTTTTTATCTGTCGCTGTACATCTCCCACTATTTTTGCCTATTCGGTTACAATCGTTAAATATTCTACAGTTCAGCCGAAAGTCAGCAACAAATGGCTTGTCGTAGGGCTGTAAGGAGTGGAAGAAATTTGGCATAAGTGCTATCACGTCAGTCAGACGCTTGGAGCGTGTACCTTCTTTCATGGAACGGAGTAAACATTCTTTTTTTTCACAAATTTATCCCACACAATACTTACCAGGCAAACTCTCTAAGACACGAACAATTGCTGGTTCAGTAAGTCCAAATAAACTGTCACCGCTCACATGTTGTGGGTGTAGCTTTAACAAATTATTTGTAGTTCTCATACTAGCAATGGCCGACAGAACTTTTGACCAAACTGCTCTTGGACTAGAATCTTTAAGCTCTAGATCTTCATTGTCCACTTCTTGTACAATAATTCTAAACTCAGGCCTTGCATTTACTTCATGAATAGAACATATATATTTACAACGCTTGTTAGGTACTCGCATACTCCAAAACAAACGGACCTTAAAAAATATATTTTGATCAGTGAGTTCTGTAACGACTAAAAATTAATATCTAAAACTTACCACTTTGAAACCAATTGGATAAATAGAAGTTGGAGTATGAAATGCGGCCAATTGATGAGGCAATAATTGCCCAATATTGAGAAGTGTAAGGCTACCAACACGCAACAGAAACTGATGAGAACTTGAATGATGCATTACAGCAGCAACTTGCCGATTCTCATCTCTATTAATGTAAACACGTCGATGTACAGACAATGTGGTCAGTTCGTTTTCCTTGTCGCTCTTTGGAGCATGACCACTGCAGTACAAAGTCTTATTTTTATAGAACACAGCGTCATCTTTGACAGCACATGGTAAATGATAATTTGTTGAACACCTAAGCTTGTAACATTTAAGTGTAGCACCGGGCCGCTGACATACTATACATTCCACACTGAGAGATTGCCGTAAAGCTATGTCAACTTTCATCAGAGCTCCATTAACAGTTTCATAAACATCTTCTGACCACAATGCACAGTTTAAGTGTACCCATTTATCAACATCAAAGTTTAATAACCTAATTAATACATAATAGAAATAGTTACTAATTTAAATTTATTCGTTATTGTATCTACGTGTTGAACTGCAAAATAAAATATAAATAAAATATACCTAGAGGGTCCATCTGAAACACCATCTCCAAACTGATGACAAAATAAACACAAACGTTTGTCTTCTGGTAATTTTGGTGATGTAACAGTAATTCCCATACGAAACAACATCTTTAAAAATAAAAAAATATTCAACAAATTATCCAAATTATAAAAAAAAAGTATACATACCTCCATTAGATCTTTATCAGTAGATTTTTTATGCTTAGTTAGTGGAGCTGGAACACTATTTGTATTCCAAAGTCTGTAAATAGTACTCTTATTCAAAGTTTTTGCTTCTTCAACAGTTGATTCTGGTTTTGTTTCTTCTATGTTTTGTGAAATGTCATCAATATCCTGATATCAATAAAATTACATGTTTATACTGTTAACAGGTGATAAAAAAAAAAAATAAATACACTTACCATTTTTTCAGTAACATCAGTTTTATTTGATACTGGACTAGTTTCAGGATCTACTTTCAAACGCTTTGGTGGTGAACCTTCAGATAAATGATCAACATTGGTTGTTGCTTTGTCTTTAGATTCAGCTGGTGGGCGCAAAAGAGAAGCAAAAGTTTGAAAGCACATCGTACTACAGAAAAATATTTCATCAGCACACTCTTCGACGGCTAAGAAGGGAATTTCGGTTGCTTTCTTTTTTATTAAATTATTTAATATCACTAAATCACAATGACGACAAAATTTGGCAAAGCCATTTAATATAGTTTGAATATCTATTGGAGCTCCTTCTTTTCCATCTTTGGTTTTAGATCTGTACAGTCCTAACTTATGTGACATTGGTGTAACAGTTCTTTCGGTAACTTTATAATTAGGAATATCAGGTAAATCGAGTAAATTAGCTAAGCCTTGAAGAACTCCCATAATATCTTCAGCCGCATCTGAAGTTATAGTTAATGTAACTGTCATTGTATTGGAATCCCGCAATGGTAATGCAGGTGAACTTCGTGGAGGTGTTTTACCAACTTGAGACAACATTCCTTGTCTCGCACCTTGATTTTCTTTATCATCTTCTATATTGATTTTATAGTTGGGACGAGGTTTCAAAGCTAGTGGTGCAACAAGTTGATGAACTGGAGACATGTATCGAGTAAAATTTAACAGTGTATCTGTTGAATCGCTATCATCATCATAATTTTTAAGCCCTGTAAACATTTAAATTAGTTTATTGAAATAAAAAAACATAATTGAAAAAATACCTGGGAAATGGGTTGGAGTTTGACATACTGCCAATTCTGGTGAAGAAGAACTCATTACAGTGTCTGGGGTGTCATCACGGTCACGTCCGATATCAAACTTCTTTTCATCATCTAAAATATTTATTTACAACATATAAATAATAAATATAATAATAATAAATGCATAAACATATGTTTATTATCACACATACTATCAGATTCAAACTTTAAAGGGTCAAATTCTTCATTGTAAAAGCCTCTTTGAGTGGATGGTTGAGGTAATGGTGAGACAGGTTCCAAATCACCAAAAGGTTTTGTATTGTAATAATCACTCTCACCTGGCAGATTACATGAACCCACTTTACCTTTTAAGTCACCACTTTTAAAGCTAAAAAAAAAGTATATTATTCTTTTAAACCTGAACTGATTAAAATAGAATACAACTCATCAATTTCGTATTTATGTATTTGTACATACTTTTGCTGAGATAATACATCTCCTATGCCAAACAATGGACAAGCTGTTAAGTTTTGGTTTAAAGATGGCTCAATAACACTCATTGGCTGAAGCTGTCGTAATTGTGACATAAGTGCATCAATGAAAGAATCATAATCTTCTTCAGGTTTAGAACCCTAAAATAATAATGATTCAACAATATATTATAGATATTAAAAGCATGCATAAGAATTTGAAAATATGTATTTATATTACTTTTCGATGTCGTTTTTTTGGGATGATAGTAGAACTCACATCTTTCCCTTGACTTTGCCTACGTTTAGCATAATACTGCCTACGTTTGTATTTTTTTTGGTCTAAAATAAAATTAACTCAAAATCAGGACTTGGTAAAATATTATTATGTAAAATAAGAAAAATTGTACCTTGAGTATCTGCATTCATGTCTATTGACATATTCATTGAATTATTCATATCTGCTGGATCTACTATTCTAGTAGAATTTTGAGGTGATACTAATTCATCGGATGACATGATTTCTCTTTTTACTTCTCTTTCAGGGCTAAATCCAGTCAATGGAGTTACAGGTAAATGTACTTCATTTTTAATTTCTTCTTCTAAACGCTCTTGTTTAATTGCTGAATTAATAGACTCCATTATTGAATCTGTTGAAGCTATTGGTCGAGTTGATTGTGGTTGCAACTGTGATTGAAGTTGTGATTCTGGTTGTACTTGCAGTAAAGATGGTTGAAGAAGCGGTGGTGGTGGTGTAGGTGAATTTTGTGTAGCTGGTGTTTGAATATCAGAACGCTGTAGAACAACTACAGGTTTAGGAGAAGACTGTGGCTCAAGTTTTAGAACTTGAGCTTGTGGTTCAGATTTTTGTATTGGAATTTGAGGTTCAGGCTTTTGAAGCACCGGAGGTTGAGACTCTGGTCTTTGTACCATAGGTTCAATATCTAGTTTTAAAGGTTTCAGTAATTGATGTTGAGATTCAAATTTATCATCTTTTTTTGGTGAAAGTAATGAAGGAAATAATAAAGATGGTGTAGGTGAAACAGGCCTTGCAAGCTGAGCTTCGAGAGAAGGTATAATTGGCAAACTTATAGCAGTTGTAGTAGTTGGAGTTTGATTAGCACATGCAGTGTTTTGAAGAAGTTGTTTAAGCAATACATTCTGAGATTCCTCAACAACTTTAGGTGTACGTGATTCTTGCTTGGGTACATTTATCATACATGACAATTGAGAGCTGTTTTTTAGTTCTTTGTCTTCAGGTCTTGATATTATTTGAATCGATTTAGCATATGAAGTTGAAGAAGCAGTAGTAAATGTGGGTATTGAATCCCAATGAATTTTTTGAGAATTCTGCACAACTGATGTTGTACGGGCTGGTAAAACTATAGTTGAGTGTTTTGTGTGCTCATCTGATTTTGATGTGTCAATTTTAATGAAGCTATCTTTCTGTTTGGGAGACATAATATTACTTAAGATTTGAGCTAAATCTGAATGTATAAAGTTGTCTGCCTTTGTTAACAGTAAATTTTGTTTAACTTGTTGATCTTTTAATGTATCTGATGAAGGGTTTAAAATAATAATATTTTTACTTTGGGTAGACGGATGAGATCGAAATAGACTAGTCACTTTTTTTAGATCATCTGATTGATCGGTTTTCAAAATAGACACCAAACGGTTTTCTTTTTTGGGCGATGGCGCTGGTCTTGGAACTTTTGCATAAGAATGAAATGAATAGCTTTGGATAACATTATCAATATTTTCTTCTTCGTTTTCTTGGCTTAATTCTGCTAAATTGTTTTGTTGTTGAATAACCTCAGCTTTAAATTCTTCTTTTTGTTCTATATGTGGTTCTGGATCATTTAGTAATTTGTCCAGATTGAAAACAGATTTCTCTGGTGATCCACTCTTTTCCTCCTGATCACATTTTATGCTATCGCCAAGTTCATCAAAAAACATGAGTCTATCCATTTCAGAAGCTTCGTCTTTTGGAAGACCACCAAGAATACTATCATCATTTTCATTCAACATCAGACCAGGTGAATTAATTTCTCTATCCATATCCAATAATTCTTCGCCAACTCTACTAGAGTTTAATGATATCTGACCGGGATCTATGTTCATATTGTGTATAGTTGATATCATTTGTATATCATCTAATTCTTCAATGCTATCTTTTTTGCAATTTTCCAATAAATTTACATCTTTGTAAACTGGTAAATTTTGACTATCTTCATTTTTAGGAGAAGTTGAAATAATCATTGGATCTGTGTTAATTCCTTCTGGAGCTTCTTTTTGTTTGGATATTTGGATTGGAGGTGGTTGAGGGGAAGGTACTGGAGGTGTTCTTGAACCCTCGTCATCCGAATCTCCATACTCCAGCGATACTAATGATGAAACTTTAGATACTGGTATTGCACTTAATGGCATATCATTACTTTTGAATACGCTTCTTTTTACCTCATCTTGAGCATCTTTGCTAACAAACTGCCTCCCAGTACTCCACATAGGTGCTCCACCCTTAAGACCTAATTTAGTGTACTTAAACCCCTTGGGAGGTAAGCAATAATGTCCGCCTCCACGAAGTCCTAATTTAGCATACTGATATCCTTCTGGTGGTACATTATTTTCTTCCCTGTTTTCTTGTTGATCAGGCATCAATGGACTACTACCAACATTTGGTCGTCTAGCGGGCATAGGACTCGTTGTAGGTCTGATGTATGGGTTTTGTTGCATAGGACTCATTGGAGAACTAGGGGGGCCCAGGCTATTTCTTGGACTCTGCGACGGTCTGGGACTCGGCGAGCTGGGAGGTTGTCCAAACGGTGAAGTTGCTGGTGGATGAGTGTATCCCTGGACCATAGGACTTTGAGGCATTAATGGTGATGTTGGTTGTACAAACTGAGTTTGCCTAGGGCTTTGAGAAGGCATCGGTGAATTAGGAGTAAACTGTACAGGGTTAGGCGATTGTACTGGTTGTGAAAATTGTTGAGGACTCTGTGACAGCATTGGAGACTGAGTTGATATCATTGGACTATTTGGTTGACAGTATTGTTGATTGTTGGAAATGGGACTTTGTGGAGGCATTGGAGATAAAGGTGGTTGATTTGGGCTTTGAGGAGGAATTGGAGACTGTTGTTGGGACTGAACCATTTGTCTAGTGACTTTACCTTGAGATATAAGTTGCTGTTGTAAAAATCTTGTTTGTTGCTGGCGCTGCAATAAAATTTGCTGTTGCTGTTGCTGTTGTTGACGAATAATATTTGGATTAACAATTTCTCCCGGTTCTTGTTTAATAGTCTGCTGTAACAGTACTGTTTGTTGCTGCTGAGGAGATAGTTGAGACTGAATTACATTTTGTTGCTGGGGCGAACGTTGAACTAATTTTTGTTGAATTTGAGCATTATGTTGTGCCAGGATATGCTGCTGCTTGGCTATCTGTAACTGTAGTTGTTGATGTTGAAATAATTTTTGCTGTTGAGTCATATTGGTCTGTCCAGGATTTTGTTGTTGTTGCTGCTGTTGCTGTTGTTGTTGTTGTTGTTGCTGCTGCTGCTGTTGTTGTTGTTGTTGTTGTTGCTGTTGTTGCTGCTGCTGCTGTTGTGCTTGTATTGTATTTTGATTGTTTTGAGATTGTAATTGCATTTGATTCTGATTATTCTGTGGTTGCAAAATTTGTTGTTGTTGTTGTTGTGGAACATTTTGTTGCTGTAACTGTTGGAACTGCTGTTGTTGTTGTAATATTATGTTTTGTCTTTGAATGACTATCTGCTGCCTTTGTTGAGGTGACAACTCTGATTTACTATCTTGATTTCCAGGTACTGCTTGCTGAACGAGTATTTGTCTTTGTTGCTGATTCTGTCCATCGTTCATTTGTTTTTGAATTTGATCAATTTGCTGTAATAACATTTGTCTATGTTGAGCTAATTGCATTTGTCGTTGTTGGACTGCTAATGGGTCTTGATTGGCGGAATTGTTTAATTCTTGTTGTTGCTGAGATATAAGTATGGCTTTTTGGGTGAGTTTTCTCTGTAAAAGCAACTGTTGCTGTTGAGGAGTTAATTGTTGGAATGTTAGTCGTTGTATCTGCTGAGGTTGTTGAATTTGGGATCCTTGGCTTATCGTGACATTTGTCACCTTTGCACCCTGATATGTGTTTGTAGTATTCACAGATGGCATATGACTCTGAAGAGACACGAGTGTTGGACGTGCTCTTAGTGTTAAGCCATCTGGTGAACGCACAAATCTTATAGGAGTCATTCCTGCATGCCTTTAAAAACATAAAATAATTAAAATTTTTTTTTTCATATATAAATAATAAATATTCTGATATTAAACAGTCAAGCCTTGTTAACTCAAAACTTTGATAACTATGATTTATGCATTTCTATTTCTGTTTTACAAATCCGTAACAAGTAAATTTACACTCAGTAGTTAAACCTTTAGTTGCTAAAAAAGCTGTAAAATTAGAGTAAATCGGCCATTTATAAAACTTAATGGTAAGATCATTAACTATGCTTGAATGTCGGCTTTTTTTACGATAGTTTAAATTTTTAGCGAGTTTTGAGAATATTAAATATCACAATTAAAAATGCTAATAACTTGCATAAAAATGATTTTTTTTTTTAGTTTTTATAAGCATCAGGAAAAACTGGAATTTTAATGCAAAACCATATTTTGACAAAATCAATTTTTTTATAATAAATACTTAATACTTTCAATAACTATATAATCAATTTCACCACAGTTTTCAAAATATGTTGACTCTTAACTATTTATACGCATAAAAATGTTTGATTTTTAATAATATCCCTACGCTGTGTAATAAAAAAAAAAGTTAATTCACAATAATTTTTTATAACCGTCTAAAGTTTTAATATTTGCACATTTTTTCAACATTGGACCCATAAATTAAAAATATCTCAGGAAACGATTTTTTGTTGTAATTCAAAAATGTAAGCCCTTGCAATATTAACCAAATATTTCTAATAGCATTTCCTATACTTGGAATAATTAAAAAATATTAAAAATTAAAATATTTTGACTCTTTTTGAACTATATTTTATAGTCATTTAAAATTGTTTTTCAATAAATAATAATAATACATTTTTTTCCCGTGTCGAATAGCTTCAATTTTTGGCAACATTTATCAAATTTAAAATTCAATAATTATTTTGTAGTTAAAAATTTATAAAATGTTCAACTTTTATACCTAAGGATTGAAAATTTAAAACAAGGTTCCACGTTAATAGGTTATATATAAATAACTTTATTCACAATAATATCATCAATTAATATCATAGGCTGACTGAACATTTTTGCTCAGAATCGTTTTTCTTATAAATTGATATTATATCATTGAATTCAAATTTAACTACATCCATTACAGAGACCCATTTGTAACCTACTGTACAGCAGAGCGACATCCACTTGCCCACCTTTTTTTAATTTTAACCAATTCTAAATTAATTAATAATAAATTATTTTATAATGCTGATGTATTTAACTAGGGTGTATATATATAACTAGGGTTCAGATTCTAATAAACCTCAAAAATGCCTTAATAAAATACCATTTGAGAGGATGTCCCACACGCATATGTTGTCCCTGTCTTATACATGTACGACATAGCAAATTTTAAGCTCAGCAGATCAAGTTTAGCCCTGTTAATTTCAAAAATTAGAGTAAATTATTAACTTATAAAATTTAAAGATAAGAATATTATCTAGGGCATCACATCGGCTTTTTGTTATATTTAAATTTTAAATTTCTGTTTCTATATTTGTCAATAAAATGTTAACTGTTGGGTAAAAATGCGTGAACATTTAATGCAAGGTTCCTGATATATTTTTACAATAGCAGTTGAAAAATATGAAAAATAAATAGGCGTAATTTGTTTTTATGAGCATTTAAAGTTCAATTTTTGGCAACATTTATCAAATTTAAAATTCAATAATTATTTTGTAGTTAAAAATTTATAAAATGTTTAACTTTTATACCTAAGGATTAAAAATTTAAAATAAGTTTCTACAAAAATAGGTTATATATAAATTACTTAATTCACAATATTATAATATCGTCAAATATACTTAGTAATATCATAGGCTGATTGCCAGTCTTCGCTCAGAATTAATGATATTATATCATTGAATTCAAATTTAAAATTCAAAAGAAAATTTTTTATGAATTTCTAACTCAAATTAATTTGCACATTTTTGTGATTTTTACATGTTTTGTCAACATTAAAGGACGCCACACACTGCAGCGGTGTGAAATTGTGGTAAAACTGTGTAGTGACTCATTTGGCCGTAACCGTACCTGCCACCGCTGCAGTGTGGGACCTTAAAATTTAAATGCTAATAAAAAAAAATTGTTACTGGATTTTTAATATTTTTCAAATTTTATTGTAACAATATATTAAGTGCTTTGTATTAAATTTTAAAGCTGTTTTACCCAACAAATATTATTTGATTGACATTCATAGAAAAAGAGACTAATACAATTGGAAACTGAAAATGTTCCTAAACAGTTCAAAACAAATTAAAATAATTTGAAAATTGTATCGTGTATAGAAAATGCGAATATAAACAACCAGTAAAATTTCATATTTCTACGGTCATTTGTTTTAAAGTTACACCAAAAACCAAAATTGATTTTGTCGAAAACCGATTTCCGAAATTCCAGTTTTTTCTTAATTTTTTTTTTTTTCCTGTAGCTTTTGAAAATTACTGAGAATTTTAAATTTTTACTTCCCCAATGCACCAACTAGATTCACTTTCCCATTGAATAAGATACTGAAGTTGAAAATCGAAGCATTATTTCAACTACTTTTCGTGTACACAGACACAAAAAAAAAAAAAAAAAAAAAAAAAATGAAAAAAAATAAAACACACATCATTATAAAATCAATACATTTATCAGAGCTGCTCAGAAACTAAACTTATATTATTAAATTATTTAATATTAATTATGTTATTAAACTTAATCTAGATCTAAATAGGAGCATACTTATTTTTTCAACCTAGTATACTTCTGTGGAACTTCTTAACATGTGTTACATAATTATGTTGTTCAATATATAGCTCAAAACACAATCGTAACTCAATGTTTATCACATTCAATTAAGTCATATTATAAATCGTATGGTTTTTGAAATTACTTGCATAATTTTATAAGCAACAAGTTGTTTATCATTTGATAACGAAAATGTTCAACTATAGCCTATAACTGTACAATTCCTTGCAATTAACTTTCACTTCTCACTTCCGTTATTAAACGTAAATTACGATAATTTGATCCAAATTTACATGTTAGTAAATAATATACATAAAACACTTATAAAATTAAAAAATGCCCTAAAAATCAAAAAAGTTAATAAAATGCAAAATAAAAGCTGCATTTTTAATTCATGAACTGTATTTTGTGCTTAAAAATCATCGTTTTAGACATTAAAGCTCCCCAAAAAAAATGTAATTTGCATTAAAATCCAAAACTTTAATATAACCTTAATGGATGTTTTAAATAAGTCATTTTATATACGTTAAGGCAAACATATTGAGCCAAACATCATTCTATAATCCTACAAACCTTGTTAGTTGGTCTTGTGTGTTTGGATTTACAATCACTTGTCTTGGACTCGACTGGCCAGGATTACGTAGCTGAGGTGAAGGCAGATTAGATCTAGGTGATGGTAATGGAGACTGTTGGTTTGGACTAAATGGGTTTTCTTCAGTCTATAAAAACAAATAAATATTTTAATACATAAAAAAAATAATTTAAACATTTTTCTGTAACATACTTGAGATAAAGGAGTGGAAATACTATTGTGTGGAGACATTGAGTTTTGTTGATGTTGAATAGACCCAACAGTTGAATTTGGAGACATCATTACACTTGGAGACTGTGGACTTTCTGCAGTTGTTGAACGATGTTTATTTTTATACTCCTAGTCACACATATTATTATTATTATTATTATCATCTTTAACTCAAATTTAAAAGTTTATCATTATATTAATATTACCTGTATAATAGCTATATGCTGTTTATTTTGCTTACGACTTGAATCCAATAGTTTTTGCACAGCTTGCTGTTCTGAAGTAACACGTTGGAATTCTAGTGAGTCGTGTTCTGATAGCTCATTACCTTGTTTTCTAGCCACACGTTGTTTACTATTCATGCTCTTTCTCATTTTTCTTAACTTCTGAACTTCGCTCTCATAATATTTCAATTGCTTAGTTATATTGTTACTTTGTTCATTAAGCCATACTTCATATGTATGTTGTATTTGACGATCTTGTTCTGTAGCTATGACTTCGGGTGGTTGTGCTGGTGGTGTTAATACCGGAGCATTAAAAATTGGAACTTTTATAGCTGTAAACAATAAATTTACTTTAATATTAATCAAACACTAAAAATAAAACTTAACTTACATTGATCAGTAAATTGTTGTCTTGCTGGAGATTGACTAGGTAATTGCTGGGGTTGTGACCAGTTTTGTACAGGCTGAGACGTAGGCCTTTGCAAAAATGTAGGTCTTTGCATATGTATTTGATCACTGACTTGTTGTTGTACAACTCCTGTACCACCTAAACAAATTTTTAAAGATTTATAAAATAGTAATATTTTTAGTATATTAAATAATAGGCTTCTTCAACGATATAATTTTGAATATCGATATCGTTTTGATTGTGTGCGATATCGTATCGCGATATCGAAAAAAAAATTTTGATGTCGATATATCGATATATCGATATTCCGATATATCGATATTAAAATTTTTTTTCGATATCGCGTTATCTCTATTAATTATTTATTTTTCTGTTCTCCTGTGCTATTTTTAACACAAATAGTAAATACCCAATGGCCGGGGTATATCGATATATTTCGATTATCGAATATATCGATAATAATTTATCGATATATCGTATGATATATCGATAATCGTTTATCGATATATCGTACGATATATTAAGATTATCGATATCGAAATTTCCGAAAAAAAGTTCGCGATATCGATATCGTATCGAAATATCGATATCGTTGAAGAAGCCTATTAAATAAAAATAAAATTACTTTGTTGAATTATAGGTGGTGATGCAATAGCAGTACCACTAGCAGAAGAATTCATAACATCAGCTCGCAGAAGTTCAAAATCAGCATCACTCATTAGACCAGGGAGTGAAGATCCCGTAGATGAAACATTACTATTAACACCTGATGAATCAATATTTTGTCGTTTCTCTTGTTCCCGTTTTTCTTGTTCCAAAAGATCTTCTAATAATAAGGGCTGTTCCTGAGAAATATTTATTTTTTATTAATATTAATTGAATGACACAGTAAGTTTGCAATTCATAATATTCTACAATGGACATTAATTATTTTAAAGGTTTTTGCAGTGCTAACTGAAACACATTGTTGAACTATACATGCTAAATATTGACAAGAAATAAAATCTAATTGCAAAGCATGCTAAAAATTATGAATATAATTTATTAAAATTAATAAAACAAAAAAAACTATCAATTATTAACAAGTTTATCAGTTTATAAAAAAAAAAAAATGTATTTTGCAAGAAAATATATAAAAAGTAAAAACAAAATACCTATAATTATAGACATTATGTAGTACATGTAATTACAAAGGTAATTACTATAACAATAAATAAAAATGTATTATAATTTAAGATGTAATTACTAATAACCATGTATATACCAAAATAAAATAGAAGGATACATTTTTAAAATTAAATGTAATTTAACAAGAAAATAGATAGAACGAATTTAAGTTTAAATTAAAAATAAAAACAACTTAAATTTTATATTTTGTTTAATAATATACACTGATTTAGTATTTAACTAAAAGTAATCCACTTGTTACAAAATTATTGTTAAGGCTGCTGAAAGCTTTCCATTTTTAAAAGGTCGGATTTAGGCAATATTCTATATCCATTCAAAGTTCAAAAAACACTATATGTAATTAAAGATAAACTACTGCTCAGATTCATGAAAATCCATAACGATATACGAGGTCACAAGTCCCTATTTTTGCAATTAAAAAAGTTACAACATGAAAGTCTCAAAAAGCAGATGATTTCACCCAGCACCAAAAGACCGATTTTACTTTTTAAAACATATTTGAATTTCTTATTCTTTTCTAGTTTATGTAGGAAATGGATATTTGATTTTTTCAAAATCACCTTACTTAAGTGTTACTAAAAAAATATATAAAAAAATCCATTTCCTACATAACATAAAAGAATAAAGAATTCAAGTAATTTTTCAAAATTAAAATTGGACTTCTATAAGTATATTTCTTTTCTTCCGCATATTGGTCTAAATGCACAAAAAACAACACTTTCAACATCCTTAATTAGTAATGACACTTTTTGGAGAGATCAAAAATGTTATAAAGTTACAAGTATGGAATAACGAAGTCATTACTAGACCAAAATTTGAACAAACATTGTGTGTAGATTTTTATAAAAATACCAAATAAATAATAAAGCAATATATTATTCAAGTAATTATTTTAAATAATCACTACTTTAATAAAAACCAAGTTGCTCAAACTTAAAATTGTAATAAATAAAAAGGATATGAATTATCTGACTTTTTCCCTATTTCATAATTGAAAAAAAAAATTGGCTTTATAGAAGTTTCTACTTTTTAGACAGTTAATTAAAATTTATAACAACTAATCAAATATGATTAATAGTTTCAAAATATATAGAATAACCAATTAAGGTTTTAAAATTGAAATTCCAATCTATATTATATTATACAGGTTGATTTTTTAAATATGCTCACCTTTACATTTATTCAAATTTTGATTTTTAGAAATTTTAAGTATACCTTATGTCTAAAGACCATATTTTAAAATTCCTGATATTTTTTGTACTACTTAACACGTTGGCTGCGTAAAACGCCAATTGGCGTCATTGTACATAGTTCGCATGTGCTGAATGACGCCAATTGGCGTTATTTAATGGACTATAATTTGGTCAGCGTTACGATTAAACTTTTGGTTTTTTGTCAGCGTCTTCTATAAGCATTGTTTCATAATCAAGTGCAAACTGTACACTGATATTTTAATTTTTCAATTTTTAGGAAATTTTTTTTTAAAATAGAATTTTATCAGCGTCACGACAAGTATACAAAAATATGATACACAGTGAACGTGTTAAGAATGTCCAGTGGCGATACAAACAACTATTTTCCAAATGAGAACTCCCCTTTTTACTGCAAATTATTTAGTGGGCAATTTTCTTGATCAAAATTCTTATAAGTAGTTTCTCAAAATGTCTGTACTAAGGATAATAACCATTAAATATGGTTTTACAAATAACTTATAATGATATATCAATAGTAATTACTAAAATTTTCAATTCATCTAAACCCCCAAATTTACTTAACCCATTACCATAGACATATTTTCCTTAATAACTTAAACTACTTCTTCATATTCTAATTTAGATAAATCAAAATTTTCAAAAAAAATATCTGCTGAATAATTAATAAGTGAAAAAGGGGGGTTTATATTTGAAAAAAAGAAGTTTGTACTGTCAAAACATCATCATGTGGTACAAAAAATCTCAAGTAGTTAAATTGAATATGATCTCCATGTGTATTTATAAAATTCCACAAATCAGAAGAATTTTAATGTATGTATAATTTAAACATAAAAATAAGATGAGCATGATTAAAAAATGAACCTGTACATATATTGATCAACAATATTATTAATAATTCAGCATTCTAGTTTTTTATATAGAATATATCTGTGCTAATAACTAATAATTACTAATTTATATTAATTAACAGTAAAAGGCTTTATTCATACTTGGGTTAACCAATTGAATCATTACATCATATATGTGGTTAGATCGATGAACTTTAAATATTAATATGATTATACTTAAAAGTTTTTCTGTGGATTAAATACACAGAAAACTAAGTGTTGAACAGATTATGGAAACCAATTTAATCATAGTAAACTTTTTATTTAATTCATAGATTTAAACCAATGTATATTTTTAAAATTTATTCAATTTTGTTTAGTACAGTTCTAAATGTTTTTTTATTATAACTAAGAACAATAATATTATAAAACTAATTAGTGCCAAATTTAGTGAGTTAAATAGATAAAGAGGTAGAACTAAATAAATAAAATATAAAAGCTGTTTTGACTCAAAAAAAAAATCAATAATATCACTTAAGTAAAATTACCATTTTGTTTTCTACTAATATATTAAATGTATAATTCAAATAGAACAGTATATCATTATGTTTGGTAACAACATAAAATATTTTATTATTATTATTATTAAGTTTTTGTTATGAGTTATTATTTGGTTTACATAAATTTATAATATGTATTAGAAATTGTTTGGCATATTAACAAGTTAATCATAAAGTTATAAACATTTAAAGTTAAATGTTGATAGTTAATCCATAGAATATCTAGAGTACTACTTTAATCTTTTCATCAAAACTAAAAAAAAATATGGGAGTAATAGTAATTGATTAGTTCAATATAAGATATAAGTTAATATCAATAAATTACTATATTAAGTAATCTGTGTAGCCTAGCCTAACTTCTAAACTCCTAGTTAAAAATAAACATAATTTTTACCTAAAATAAATATCAAAATGTAAAGAAATATTATAAAAAACTTAAAAATTAATAAACTTTGCATTTTGAGTCAACACAAAGTTAAATTCATATTTGGTAGATATTTAGTGTTATTTAATTACAACACATCTAAAACATTGTGTAGTGCACGTGATAATTATTAGCTTTAATTATTTAATGTAAGTAAGTTCATTTTTATTTCACAATATTTAATTTCACGACATATCATCCATCTCAATTCTTCTAATTACCTGAAGCAACAATGGTCTTCTCTGCATTTGAACGCCCATAAGACTGTGTGGTAGTACCATGTCAGTGTGTGGTAAAGGAGCCCTCATACGGACCTGAAGGGGGGCCACATTTGTTAGTGAATTCCCAAATTGTCATGTATTATGTATATTATCAAGCACAAATTAGAAATATTTCACCCAAAATTAAATTAACAAAATTAAAAATATATTTTTTTCTTTCCTTAGTTTTTACAATTACACATTACGTATACATGTTAATAATAATATTAAAATCAGATTAGATGTTATCAAATTAAATAAATATTTGGCAAAAACATATTTGATTGAAAAAAGGCATGCTTTCTTTCTGGAAGTCTACAAAAAAAATATCTAGATGCAAAATAGGAGAAACCACTGAAGGGATTACAACGAATAATTGAACTACTATTACACTAAATGATGAATTATAATATAATATAAATAACATTTTACCTGATGTTGTCCAGGGTATGGCGGAGGAGGTCCTGGATAAGGTGGAGGGGGAGCCAACTGTCGGGCTTGTTGAACCGTCCCTTGTTGTATAATCTGCTGAGAACCTATCATGCGATTAGGCACAACTGTACGTTGCATTTGAATTAGTCGCTGCTGTTGCTGAATAGAGACTGCAAATAAAAATAGAAATAATAATATATAATTCTAAATTAATTAATTGAAAATTTAAAAAATTTAATACTTTACCTTGTCCAATTGGTGACATTTTAGGTGTTGGATTTTCTCCAGAAAAATTTGACATGAAATTCAAATTATTTTCTCTGTTCTGCATCACATTACCTATTTGGTTATCTTGAACAATCTAAAATTATCCATAATTAAGTTATTATATATTAATTTTTTTTCAAAAATATATATTACTTGTGCGTTAACATTTTGTGAAGTTTCAAGTTTTGGAGAATGAATAATATCTTGTTCAAACTTTTCAATCCCTAAAACTGCTACACTATTTTGCTCTTTTCTATGATTCAGACTACTCAATCTTTGTAGTTCATCCACTTCTTCCTTTGGTTGTTTTGTTTCAATTTCTACTGATGACTTATCATTTGGTACAGTTTTGTTATGAGCACTCTTGTTAGATTCCTCATCATCAACAAGATCATATAAGATATTAGTTTTGTTACCGCAATCTAGGTTGTCAAGTTCTGGATCAGCATATTCCAGTATATTAAAGTCAGCTCCCATTTCAGCTACAAATAAACATATTTTAAATAATTTATAGGATTATAGTAAAAATTAGGTATATTCATAGATAATTTACCCAAGAGTTCGTCATCATCATCTAAATCACCCAAAAGGGCATTGACTCCATCAACTTCACCAATATTGTTTGGATCTCCTTCTTGTTGTAGTTTTTCCAATTCATCTCTAACACTATCTGTAATTTCTTCACTTCTACTGTCTACATTATCAGTACCTAAAACATACATTTCATTATAATATTAATTATTTATACACATTATATTTAAAAATATATTACCATTAATAGAATTTTGCTGAGACTGGTGCTGTAATATATCACTATGTCTACCAGCAGATACATTTTGACCAACTACTATAGATTGGGACATTGAACTAGGATCATTTATTATTGATGAAACTTCATTAATTGGAGCTTGATATTTCTGGTCTAAGCTTTCAGATCTTTCTACTTTGGAAAGTAAATTGAAATTATACTATACATATTATACATAATTTATATATTATATATAGTTAAATAAATACCTGAAAATGGTTGTTGCTGCAGCTGTTGATGTTGCTGTTGCTGTTGATGTTGTTGGTGTTGCTGTTGTTGCAGCTGTTGTTGTTGTTGTTGTTGTTGTTGTTGTTGTTGTTGTTGCTGCTGCTGCTGCTGCTGTTGTTGCTGCTGTTGTAGCTGTTGTTGTTGCTGTTGTTGTTGTTGCTGCTGATGTTGTTGTTGTTGTTGTTGCATTATTTCGTAAGGCCTAGTATTTTGCTGTGTCAACGCTTGTTGAGTAATTGGATTTTTAATACCAGATACAAATTGTTGAGAATTCATGTTATTATTAATAATTGCACCAGTAGTAGTAGATCGTTGTTGTATTAACAACCGAAACCGAGGATCTGATAACTAAAAATAAATTTAATTAATAATGGTAATTTATAAAACAACTAATTAACATATAAAATAATATTTTACTTGGAATTTTTGATCTTGAACTCGTTGCCGAATGACCATTTGAGCGTTTGGAGTAACCATTGGTTGGAAAGGCATACGTTGAGTCTTAACAGCACTTGGAGGTAAAGGCTGACGAAAAGTTGGTCCAGAAGCTGGGGTTTCAAAATCTTGATTTGGTACAACATTTTGAGATGTTATTTCTTGATTTGGTGTATCTTCTGTATTCCACATACGCTGATCGGCCGGGGTTTCTTTTTTAAACTGCTGTCTTTGAAGTAATTCCCTCAAATGTCTTGTCATTTCTTGATTAGCTTGAGGTGAAGAAAATACGTCATCTCTTCCTCGTGGAGATGTAGGATTAAAATGAACATTTCTTGGTTGTTGAACTACAGAAGTTGAAGATATTGGTGGACTAAACAAGTCTGTTGGTCCTGGTGTTGACTGTGAACGTGTGTATTGAGGTGATGGTGATGCTGAAGCAGGACTCACAACTCTGGTCACTTTCAAGACAGGTGAAGGATATGGTGATCTAGATTGCTGTTGAGAACTTACACTACTAGGACTTTGTAAGGGAGTTAAAGAACCATCCTACAAAATTGAATTTATTACCTCGTTTACTTGAATTAATACTTCATATAAAAATAATGAATTTAAATTACCTGATTAGTAGAAACTTGTAACTGAGTAGCTAAATTTGGTGTATGAACCAACACTTGTTGATCAGAATTTGTAAATTGATTGGTATCAATAGAAAGATTTCTTTGATGAACTGGTACTCTTTGATATACTATAAAAAAAAATTTTAAAAATAATAAACACATTATATATAAATTATTATTCACAATAAAAATTCATTAAATACCTCCTTGAGTACGTTGGTCTTGCATTACTTGCTGCTGTTGAGCAGCTTGTGCCTGTTGTTGTCGCATTGCTTGTAACTGTTTCCACTGGCGTTCATTTTCAGCTTCACGTGATCTCTGTTGAGATATCATTTTATCTTGATCCTATTACCATAATATAGTAAACTCATGTTAATTATAATTCTACATTTTATTATAAAAATAAAGTTTGAAAATATGAAGAAACAATTATAAGTATAAAATTAAAGCTCATTATTTTTTTTTTTTATTAATGCATCTGACGAAACAAACAAATAAGATAATGACAAATTATATTTTATTTATACATATAGAAGAAAATTCACCACAATCCCATTTGTTTTGTATATAATACACACATACACATTTATTATTTAAATCTATTTATGTATTTATGTGTACCCCTATACAATTACATCCACAAACTATGCTTTTTGTTAAGTAATATATTAATGTATATTTATATTTATACTGATATAGTGTATTAAATATTATCCATACACCAATCAATTCTAATAACTACTTCTAAAATAAAAAAATAAGCTATGTGTTATACATAAACTAATCTACTACAAACCATGCTAATATTTATAACTAATCAACTGCAGTTAATATACCAAGAACAAATAAATGTATCAGAAACCATAAGCCAAATATGTGAAATAGCTTTGAAATTGAAAATGATTTAGAAAAATTATGAAAAACCCCAAATTAATTAACAAACAGAAATAAAAAATATGTTCTAAATACAAATTTATTTTAAGTGTTCAAACTCAAACAAAATTAAAACAATATAGCAGTTTGACCAAAAAATAATAATGTACTTTAATAATTAACAACTATACACAATTCAATTTAATGTTATGTAAAAATAATTGAATTCACTGTCATAAATTATAATCCATAGAATTGAAAAATTAACCCACCTATAAAAAATTAAAATATAGCTATTTTTAAAAGAACTTTCCATACACTGTTTGATTTAAATTGTTATCAATAACATTTTTTTAAAAAACACTGCTAATATAAAAATTTCAAAAAAATACGATAAAATTTAATTTAACAAAATTCTGGGTCGTAAAAATTATTATAAATTATAATTCAATGCTAATTAAATTTGGCTAATACTTTCTGAACATTAAGTCAACTTAATATTACTAGAATTTAAATCCTTCACCAACAATAGTTTTACAAATATAATAGTCGGCGATGTTGTTAAGATAATTTTATGTTATTATACAAATAACAGCATTTTATAGTCTTAACACATACAAATATAAAGAAATTAACTCTTAAAATTAAACAGTAAATACAAAGTTTATTTATGGATTTAGAAGCAATACAAGTAGCTGGGAATATACTAAAAACACAAAAATAAAAAGAAGAGGCTGAACAGTCAAATATCCAAAGAAAATCATTTCCCAGAACGTGCAAGTGAACGCTCACCACAGGGTCATAAGTCTCTTGACCGAGGGACGGGAGTGTGCGCATTATCTCAGACGGTGTTAGTACACGTATTTGTTGGTCAGACAGCGGAGGTGAAGTGCTGACTGAAGTGTTAGTACTGCTAGCGGTTATGTTAGTTTTAGCGCCCTCAGTGCCAGCTGATGATGATTCATTTCTCACCAACTGTACGTTACGTATTGTGCCAGTCGGCTGTGATGTGATTATATGTAATAGGTTATTACGTGAATCAGTTTGATTTTTAGTATCTAATGTGGCTAATATTGAATTAGACATTATTAATGATGGAACTGTTTGTATTATATGAATACTGTTTGGTGGATAATGCAAAGTCCCCCTTTCAGATGAACTCGATGCTACATATTGATATTGAATTGGTTCAGATGAATTCTTCTCTGCGGGAATTATGTGAATGGTTCGCAAATTAACAGGATTAGGAGATGGAGGGTTGGGTAAAACTGGTATATATTGTATTGTAGATGGGTGAGTAGGAATAGTAGTGGGAAATGTTTGCTGAGGTGGGTTAGATTCAGGCTCAGGATCAGAAGGCTGGGGAGATTGTGAGTTAGTATGACCATCACCAGCGGCAATTAGTATTGCGGGTTGCATCGGTTCTTTGGTGGGACACACCTCTCCATTGTTAATCGTCGGACTCTGGGTAGCACTAGATGTTGAACTGGTCCGGTTGTCTCCACTGGTACTGTCTTCCTTCGCGGCCTGTTTGTGTTGTTATAGAACGGGTGCCATTAAAGAAACAAATCCCAAAAGCAATAAAATGAGAACATATCAACTAAAGATGCTAACACTCTAATGATGGATATCAAATTTTGTTTTTGGATCGATATTGAAAAAAATAACACGTTGAAAATGTAATTTCTGCGTAAGAATAATTTTTTTTTAAATAATTGAAGAATATTTTGTACTTATTATTACCTATAAATAGGAATGGAAAAATAAATTTTCTAAAAGATCACAAACTATATTCTTAAAAATGAAAATATAATGTAATTAAAAATAGTAAAAACTTAAAATAAAGGAAATTGCATAGTAACAATATATTTTATTATTAGTATAATTGTATTTATCAGCTATAGCTGAGGAAAGTGCAATCAGATAACCCGGTCAACACATCTCTACAATTTGAAATAAAATTATTCAAACAAAAAAATAAAAATAAATATATGATTTTTTACCATGAAATTCTATTAAAATGTACTGATTTTCATTATTCAAAATGGTATTTATGAAATTTTTTCAACAAGTGTCATATAAGAAATAATCTATGTGCTTAACCCTAGAAAAATTTGATAACTTAAACAGGATATTTTGACATTGGTTAAATAATGTCACTTAAGGATCCTAATACTATAATTCTATTTATTAAATATATTTGGATTTGTGTGAACTGTATAAATCTAAAAATTGCCGTGTAAAAATTACTAGTGCTTTAATATTATCAACAACTAGACATAACCAATAAAATAAAACCAATATTGTTTTAATTTATCTGTTTTCAATGAATCCCAAAAATGTGCAAAACGCTGTAATTTGTGATTGGCCTAAAACACATAGTAATATGATGATTTATCATACATTATAATTACCAAAAGCGCTTTGGCCAAGTCACATAAGCACACACAAATAAATTTTAAACTTAAGCCCCAATAAAAAAGCTTCGTTTTATGTAGAGGAACTTTTAAAAATACCATGTATAAAATTTTCCAATGTACAATGTATAATGTTATATATATATTCCCGCTAGATATTATGATAGTTAAGCTCTCAGGATGAACGCTAAAATTAGTCCATGATTTCATATACCATTATGATATATGGTGCTTGACATAATAAATTTTCATCAATAAACATTTTGCATAATCTGTAATGCTTACCTGTTGTGCTTTTTTCTGTCTCAGATTAGTTCTATTTTCTCTTGCTTTTAACAAGAATGGGCTTTTTTGTTCTGGAGACAATGTTCTCCACTTTTTTAATATTTGTCTTGATCTTTCAGGCCAAGCTAAACATATAAAAATAAATCAGTTTCAACATCATATAAATATTTAAAATAAATGTATATCATACAAGGAAATTCGGTTTTCCATTCAGGATGGGTAACATTAGCGTAAAGTACAGCTGATATTGAAGCTTTAGGTCCCAGAGCTTCATCTGCTTCCATTTTTTGAGAATTTCTTTGACTGGTATTTATAGCTGATGACTGAGAGCCTACACCTTCTAAGCTATCTTCACCACCACTATTTTGTACCCAAGGACTGTGAGGTTCAGAAAATGCTGGACTGAACTGAGATGGACTACTAAAATGTAAAATAAAATTTTCACATTGCATTTGTACAAAAACATTTTTTATTTTGTATAATAATTAATAATTAATTAATATTACTTACTTGCTGTATTCAGAATGATATGGAGACATTGCTGGATAGATAGGAGAAGGCATATTGGTTACTACAGGTGGTAATGCTGGAGCTGGTACTTTTCCACGAGACATATTAGTTGGAACACCTATGAATTTTACAATTAGAAATTTTTAATGTTAAGTTTTAATGTATTGAGCATAGTTTACCTGTACGAGATGGAGACATAATTGGAGCATGGTTCTGATTTTGAACCATAACTACTCCATTTTGGGCTTGAGGTATAGTACCCATATTATTATTACTTATTAATAACATATTTGAGCTATTTGGATCTTGAGATTCTTCTTGTGAAGCATCATCAGTTAAAACTACTTTGAAAATCTCTTCTACATCTTTACTATCCATATTTGGTAAGCCTGAATTTAAATACAATTTTTATTTGATAATTTTTATTAACAAACAGTAAGTTAAGAAACGAAACAAAATAAATTTTTATCATTAAATAATAAATGTTTAACATTTTATTAAATATGAATGATACACATTTAAATTTTAAACAATTAATAATACAAAGATAATGATGTATAACATAATAAAAAAATACTCATTAGGCTATTTAATATTATATTTGTATAAGATCTTAAATTTTCTAAAAGTATTAACACGTTGACTCCCATATGACCACAGCTAGGCGGGTCAACTGTAATTCTCAAATTGTATACTTCAGCATCCATAATTGATCATATTACTATAACGCCACATGACCGCCGGTGACCAATTAATATGGGATTAACTTTTCTATGGAGCTACAATAATGTACTAAAATGGGGCACAGTGGGAATAATTACAATTTATTTAATGTAATAAAGATACTATTTTTATATTTTAAATATTTTTTCAAATAAAATAGAATATTTACAAATTAAGAATGACATGGAAAAATATGTTTGGTGTGTCAACAATACATATTGTGTGACTGCCGGCAAACACATTAGCTGTCAACGTGTTAATAAAATATTTATATTATTCTTATTAATCAAATAAAAAACTATCAACAAAATTAATATTTGATAATATTCAGTTATAAATGTAAAAATTAAGAATAAATAATTGAATATCGAGGGAAATCTAAAAAATTTTTAAAAAATGTATTTACCTGTCTCTCTGACCATAGAATCAAGATTAAAGTGAGAACCTAGAATTTCACTAAATTCATCTTTTTGAGCTGAAGTGTTTGTTTCGCTCATGTTGGGTTCTTCCACTACTAAGCCGTTATCTGAAAAAAAAAAGTTATAAGTTAAATACCAAGTTGTGTTTATATGATTATTTCAAAATACCTTCCATTTCTGTCTTAATATTTCTACTTTGTTCATTCATAATGGAATCTAATAAATTATCAGACAGCAAAATATCTTTAAGTGTATCGTTCTCATTTGTAGAAGGTATTTCTTTTTTCTATAAAAATTGTTAAAATAAAAAAACAAATTTATATTAATATTCATTTTAAGTAGACTCCATCTACATATTTTTTTGTTTTGTGCGATATTGAATCACAATATCAAAAATAAAATTAAGATATTGATATCTCTATGACTAGTTAACAAATTGTTTTTAAAATATATTATACAAGTTCATTTGAGTTAAAATCAGTTGGTTTCCGGTAACCAGAACACCCAATAGGCCATTAATTAAAAATTAATTTGTTTAATTTGTAATAGGTATGATATTATGATAATATATTATATATTACGAATATCGATATTTAAAGTTTGCGATATCGATTTCCAATTAGAATATCAATATCGCTGAAAAAACCTAATTCTAAGTAATCTTTTCACCACATAAGAATAAAATTTGTTTGTACCAAAATAATTTTATCATTTTGTCATTTTGTCAAGCCCCCTTTATATTTAAGGATAGGTTAAAATAAATATTTTAATGCAATTATTTAACATTGCTTTAAAATTCAATACCTCCTTATTTATATAACTTTTCCAACCCAGCTCATATTAGCTCTTTGAAAAAAGATCTTACCTTTTCAACCACTTTTGGTTGTTCGTTGAGTTCAATTATCTCTTCCTTAATATTCATGCATGTTTTTATCACTTCTTCTTTTGTTTGTTGTTTAGCTTTAATGTCTTCCATAATTTTTAATTCAGCCTAATAAATATAAATTGTATTCAACGAAAATAAATAAACATAACATAATAACCTAACCTATAGCATATTCAACGTAATAAAATCTAACCTGAGAAAGTTCAATTGTTTTAATATCTTCATCTTTTTCTTCCACTTCTTCAGACTCACTACTGTCCAAAATCTGTGCCGCAACGTTGCAAGCATCCAACAAATCACGACCAAAAAATGCATCTTGTATATAATTAGGGTAATTTTCAGCAATTTTACTCTTTGGTTTTTTCCATCGATTTGGTTTTCGCCTTGGTTTATTGTCTTCACCATCACCATCCTGAGTATTTTCTTCATCTTTGTCTTTAGTTCGGGGCATACGTCCTCTAACAACAAATCCCCCAATACCTAATTTTTGAAGATTTCTAACTCGTTTTCGACGCAGAACCATTACACCTGTTTCTAATGTCAAAATACTAAAACCTTCTGGTGGTTCAGGAGGTCGACCATCATCACGTGGCTGTACTACCATCCCTTCTTTATAAATAGGTTCTGGTTCACTAGGTTCTTCCTTTATGTCATCAAAATCCATTTTATAAGCATCATCATGGTCTAAAGAATCATTAATGGTATCTAAAAACAAAAAATATTTTTAAAATTACCAAATAAATAGAATAAATAAACAAATAAAATCTTACCTCTACTATTACACACAACAGATTCTATAGCTGCCATAATAGCAGCTTCTTTTTCCATTTGTGCTTTTTTCAAATCTTTTCGCTTTTTACGTTGATGTGATATTTCTATACCACTGGTTAGAACCTTCATATGTTGAACACCTGATTCAGATAAATAAATGCCATCCATACAGTATTCATTTACTATCCCTTTAGTTGCATCTGGACTATTATCACGTGATGACATTTTCTGTTTGATTTTAGGACTTGAGACATGTGCTAAATGTGCTGGAACTGTCCCACGAGGACGACATAGTAAGCAACTATATCCGTCTTCTGCACATTTTTCTGCATCGTCTTCGTTTTCAATTTTATCACATTTTCCATGAAGCCATCTAGAAAACGAAACACAAATATAATAATATGAAATTATAATTATGTTCAAAATACAAAATGTACCTATCACACTGTGAACATTTAATTATCAATTGACTATCAGAATATGATTCTTGACATGATGGACAAATACTACGAGAAGCACAAGGTCCACATTCAGTATAATTATTCAACCAGGAACAATTAAAGCCTGGATCATTTGAACCACAAGTCAAGCATTGAGCACACCTTAAAAATCAATATTTTATAATTTAATTTAAAAAATTTAAATTTTATTAATCATACTTACCACTTGCATTTCCAAGTTCCTCTGGGGACATAATCAAGTTTTGGATCAGTACAATAAATATGATAAGAAATATCACAGTCATCACAAAGTATAAGTCTGGACTCATCATTACGTTGACCACACCCTTCACAAACTGTACAATCCAAGCATCTCCATCCTTTTTGAAGAATAACTTTGGTTACCTATAAGATAATATGATTAAGAAAAATAGTATTCTTGAAAATTCTAATTTTAAGCAACAACTCACTTTAACATTAACACAAAAAGGGTGATAGCACTGACCACACTGAGAACAAGAAATAAGACATGCTTCTTGATCTGTACCTAAAGATCCACACATAACACAAATATCTTGACCGAGTACAAATTTATCTTTAGCAGAGCATAAAACAATTCTATTTTCATTGTTAGGGTCAATGTCGTTTGAAGAATTTTTGGAGCTTACATCAGACAAAGGCCTCTGCAAAATAGTGTTAAATAAATTTTAATTATTAAAACTATAAAAAGATTCTTAACTACTAACTTGTAATCCAAGACCAGGTACACCAAAAATGCCTCGCATTCTTCCTCGAGGTCTCTTTCTAGGAAACTCAACAAGGCGTTGTCCTTTTTTCTGGTACATGGGTTTTAATGCGGCAGTAAGTTTTCCTAAACCTTTAGCACGCCCAGCATATCCAGAAAGCAAACGTTTCTTAGCTACTTTGCATGCAGCATATGGTTTTCCTTTACCCAAACCATAGCCACCCACTCGACCATCGTCAAAATCTTTATTGCTCTATATACAATATAATAGAATATTTTGTAAACATAAATTAGTTTACTTTATCAACTACTACAATTTTCTAAGATAAATACCTTAAACTCTAAGTCATGCTCAGGTTGATAAACATCTATTGAACTATTAGAGTCTCCAAATTCTTCATATCCATCTCGACGTTGTTGTACAGCATTTTTACATAAAGGACACATGTACTCAGATGCTGAACTTTTACTATGGCTAGTTATATACTCAGCCTCTGGATCACAAGCACCGTGAATGTATTTTCGACATGAGATGCATTGAACCATTTCTCGATGAGCGGCAGCTCGATAAGCTCGATGACAAAGTGGACATGAAGAACCTTTATTACGTTGCTGATAACAAGAATCACAAACCGTGTAATGGGCATGCCACCGAGAAGATAGCCCAGCACCTGGGGTACGAGAACCACAATCAGTGCATACACGACAGCACTGAAATAAAATAATAGAAAAAAATTGTCAGTAGTGTCTGATATTCTAAGAATAATAAATATAACTTTGTATGCATTTATTAAAAATATAATATTGTCAAATTAATAAAAAAGTATAATAAATTTAGGTTTAATTACTTTGCATTTCCATCCAATTTTAGGTATAGTTGTCACTTGAGGTCTTAAACATCCAGGATGATAGGCTTTATCACAACCTTCACATAACATAACCTTAGTCTGTTCGGCTGGTTGCCGACAAACTTGGCAAATTCGACAATTACCACATTGCCATCCAGCTCGTACTCCTTAGAATATAAAATATTTACAATAAAAAAACCACAATTAAAATAAATAATAATAAATTATTTATTCAAACCTGGGAGTAGAGCTAATCCAAGACAAACACCGTGGTAGTGGCTACCACATGCTGTACACATCATTAAATTAGAAACATCTCCAAGAGTCGAGCATATACCACAAGCAACGTTAGCAGAAAGTTCTTTAAAAAAATAATCAATTAGTATACATTTTATTCATAATATAAATATTATAATTACCCATTAAAGGAACATGATCAAGATGAGAATTGCATATTAAAGCTGGTACACTCATCTCTTGAAATGAAGCAGAAGCAAAAATACAAGGATAGTGGAAAAATTTCAAACAATTAGCGTATGTACATGGAGCACTGGCACCTAAGTGACCACAGTAAGAGCACCGTCGCATTAAGCTCTCTAAGATAAGTTCAGGCACATTTTCCAATGAATCAGATGTATCACATTTTACACCTTGAGTCCAGGTAGCACAAAACTGATGTACGTAAACATAACCATTTGATTCAAATTGTTCATATAACATGTTCAAATCAGGAACATCCAAATGCCCAATAACGCTGAGCTCATCCACGGGTTCAAAACTACAGGTTGAAAATTGTTGTTGTCTAATAACAATAACAACAAAAATGTACAATAAATTAATGTAATTGAAATAAATTGATTTATTTGAAAATATTTTAGTGCAAGTAATTAATAAGTAAGATATATTGAGCATTAAATATAGAAATTAAAACTCACTTAAATTTGGCAGCAGATTTTTGCCTTCTATACTGTATAATTGGTGCCATTTCAGTAGTTGGTGATTGTAATGGCATCGGAGTTAATTGTTTAGTAACTAATTGTTTAATAAAATCATCTAATGTTGACTTAAAATCCTTTTCCCAGTCTAACCTTAGAAGAGATCCTTGTCCAAGTTGACTTCGTTCTCCTAAATTACAAAATGCACATACTTTTCCTGGCCTAAAACGTATAAATATTAGTTACAAAATCAAAACACAAACATCAGAAATTATTTACCAGGTCTCTTGATATAATACACTTCTATCATCACTAGTAGGATCGACCGATGATGAAGTAGGAGGAGTATTTTCATCAGTTCGAGAAACATTTGGAGATTTACCTTCAGCATCCTCCCTATTAATAAAACAATCAAAAAAATTATGTTATACTTATTTATTTCTGTTTCTATAAAAAGTAATTATTTATTACCTTCTCCATCTTTTAATTTTTAAATTCAATTTTTTCATTTGTAAAGGGCTATCATATGATGTTATAGGTGTAACAGCACTTCGGATGGGTGAACATGATGTTGTTTCTTCGAAATTGCCTTCTGAAAAGAAATGTTTAGTACAATCATCAATTACTTAATGCAGGTTGCATAAAGAACAGTCTGACATTTTTTCACCGGAATTTTAATTTATTCATTCTATATAATTCATGATTGTGTTAAGCTATGCGAGAGTTGCATTAAGAAATCTTAAATTATTGATAACCGTGATAACCAAATAAATTAAACCGCCAATAACATTGATAACATTAATGATATTTTATCGATCTGTAAGTTACCGAACCAAAACCAGATCTGTAGTTTACTTTCAACACTGTAGGGCGTTTAAGCAACATCTATACTCTATTCAAAATGAGATCGGGACACGGCGGCGACAAGTTTTCGTCGGCGGCGCGCAGACCTCCTGCTGATTGGCTGAAATGATGGCGACGCGTCGGGCAGCAATGCGGAACAAAGCCACGCCTATGCGCAGTAGCTGCCGCCGTGTCTCGATCTCATTTTGAATAGAGTATAGTTTAATTTACAGAACCGTTAACGATAACGGTTTGGTAAGACGCTACAGGACATTTATTCAACCCACCCTTAATAGCAATGTCAATAGGTGTTTGATTAGAAGAAGTTTCATCTACTGATATAGAAGCCGCTTCTGTAGAAATTCGTGAACAATCTTCTTCTTGATAATCTGGATCGTCATCCATATCTTCATTATCATCATCATCGTCGTCTTCATCATCGTCATCATCGTCATCATTTAACAAAGGAGCACCATTGTCAACATCATCATCAGAGCTTGGATCTTCATCTATGTCCATTTCGTCAGATTTATCTAACAATGTCTTAGACATCTTTGATTTGTCATTGTCCATTTTCTAAACAATATAACATATTTAAAGATTTTAAAAAGGTTAACGCTAATGGTGTTAATGTATTATACTACTATAATATGGAACAGTATTATGAATTATAAAATGTAAATGTCCATAACTGTAATTAGACTATTAGAATGATAAAAAAGTAATTAACTAATTTTCCCTCACTAGTTAACTACCAAAAACATTTGATTCAATTCTTATCAGATATTCTCATTAATTTCAAGGAACTATTTAATTAATACTTCTGCAAGTAAATTATTTGTTTTAAGATAATAATATTATTATTGAACATATTATTAGCTACCTATTTAACACGGCAATACAATAAAGTGAGAAGTTTTGATTTTTAATGCATGTATTTACAATTAAATAACATTTTATACCTAAGCCACTTTCAACATAACAATAAATCATTACATTTAAAAATAATAATATGTCTATTAACCAATTTTGATTTAATATGACAAAAAGTTAATATAAACGGATTATAAAATAATTTAAGTAAGTACATATCTATACTCTGTTCCATCTAAGAGTGAATCACTCGGCTGACCAAAACACATTTTTTCCAAGCATTCCCACCACAATCCGGACATCGGTGGTAGTTTTAACACGGGCACCCGACAACGGCTGGCGATGACTGTCCGCCAATCACAGAACGCATAGCCATCGCATAGGGGGGTAAGGCACTGTTCTGCGGCTCAGTCTGCGTGCGCAAAAATGGTTCACTCTTAGATGGAACAGAGTATTATTAGGTACCTAATTAATAATTTAAAGATAGCTTTTCTAATAAATATTTAATTTTAATAAGTTAACAATGGCATACAATTTAATGGGAAAAATAATATGTTCAATTTAAAATATATGAATTTAAGTAATTTAAATTTGACTTGTTTATAAGATGTTATATCATAACATGCAAAACAATATTTAAGTCTGATAAAGATCACTGCAAATTCCTCGGCAAATTCATCAGATAAATGATGACTATTTTATTTCAATCCTAGGTAGCATACTACACTACCAAAACTACGCTATTGAACAGCTTTTAAAATGAGACAATAGCTGATTCCTATTATTTCCTTATTCTATCTGGTTAAGAATGCATTGAACGTGGAAACATTCTATTATCTATGGCTATCAGTAGCGTATCCAGAATTTTTTTTCGGGAGGGGTTATAATTTATTTTTGTGGAATTTTATCTTAAAATGATTTATTAATGATAACGTTGTTATAATTTAACAATTTTCGGGGGGGGTTACAACCCCCAAACCCCCCCCCCCCCTGGATACGCCACTGATGGCTATACTACTTAATGTTTTGTCATATCATGGGATATGTATAGGTATGTATATACTGACTATACTTTATGGGTACCTACGTATTAAAGTGCATTGATGTTTGAAATTGTTTATTTTTATAATAAAAAATACTTTGTGTTGCAGCATACAACTTAAGGAAAATCAAGCAAAAGTAATATTTAGATAAGACTAACAACAATCTGATTTGATCATTAAAGTTCAAAAAGAAAAATTACAGTCCAATATTTTAGGGCACATTGAGAATATAAGATGATAATCAATACAAACAAGAAATAAGTTGGTCCGGCGCCCCAAACTATGAGTTACATCTGACACAAGATTTGTAGCCGGTAGGTATGGACTGTTGAAAACAATCCACATTCACAGCGGCATAGATGCCTCTGTATACGAGCAAAAAATCTTCTATTTTCTAAAGACAGACTAGAGATGGGTTGCAGACGGCCCGTCACCAGTATTGAAGATGTGAGGGGAGGGGCAAAAAATTTTCCATAAGCGCTAGCCGAGTGGTGAAATACGCGGGAGTCAAGTTCACCGGTTCTCCCCTCTCCCTTGTTCGGGGGTAACCCAGCGGTAACGGTCACGTACAACCCTACGGCTCTGACGTACCAACGACCGATCCGCAAGCGAGTGTAGCAGGGTAAATCCTCCAACAAGACACTTACTCTGTGTTTGATCGACAGCGACTGCGGTCGAGCCAAAACGCATAATATTCGGAGGTGAACAAGCAGGGAACGCTCTGGCTCCGGGAATCGTGCGGGAACGGTAGAAGGCGAGACGATATCCGTTACGCCGAGGAGCCTTTTGACCGAAGGTTCCTTCTTACATGGCGAATGGGCGCGAAGAGCAAGCGGCTAGAGAACGGAAACTGTCGGCACACTCGGGAGCGAGGCGTCGCCGTCGTTGTCGCGGCGATGATCGTCGTCGTCGTCGTCGTAGTCGGCGGCGGCGGCGGCGGCGGCAGCGTCAGCGGCGGCTGTCGTCGGATAACGCGCGGTTGAGCGCGAACAACGACGCGAGAACGAAAACCGACGAAAACTATACTGTAATTCTGTAGCCCTACGGGAACGAGAAAAACATTTTTTCACATTATCGGATAATCAAAACAAATCGACAACAGCCTGGTACCACCGCGGGCCAACCGACAGGCTTGCCAACCCGACGAGGGCGGCGTATCGCGCGCGCGTCCCCCCCTTTCGGAACTCAGAAATTGCCCGCAGTGGCGGCGATTTGCAAAACAACGGTGTTCCCCGAATCCCGATCCCCCCCACCATTGACAAAGGGTCTACACTCCACTGCTTCCGTTAAAAACTGAAAATATTTCATTTAAAAATTTAATTTATCATAATATTTGGACAATGAAATTGGTCTATATCACGGACTAAGATATATATATATCTCAGTCCGTGGTCTATATTCTAATAGTCGATACTGGGACTATTGTACTCTGTCTGGACTCTGGACTCTTTTGCACCTAGAGATATATCATAGTGTGAGTGTGGGACGATGACAAATTGTTTTAAGAATTATGACTAACAATCCCGTCCTTAATAACTGTCACTATACATTTGCTGAGTTTTGGTTAGAAATTAACATTTAATATCATTGATTCAATAGGGAGCTTAAATACAATTTGGTGGCCCATGATTGGTCCATTAAATGTTACTATTCTAGTCAACTATTAAATGTAATCAATTTTTTAAGGAACACTGCATAATTAGGACCTAATACTTGTTTTTGGACTTTGACTTTTATCCAAATATTATTGTTGTGAACTAAGTGATCAGAAAACTACGGTGTTGGGAGTACTTACAAATGTACAATAAAATTAATAACTATTGTCCACTTTTCGGAACGAAAACTCAAGACACGCGTAGCACTCCGAGGCCGGCGCAGTACGGTCTAGCGCGCGTAACGACATACCCATTGTTGTTTGTTATATTCAATATAATTTTATAAAATATGAAACTTAAAAAGCGTGTAACCACTGTCCACTAATCAGATATTATTATGTTGACAGACATAAATAGGTAATAATATAAAATTAAATTTATATTATATTTTTGTTTTTAATGTATACAATTATGTAAATATTTATAAAATACACATAATATACATAGTTATAATAAAGACATAATAATAATAGGTATATTGTTTCAAAGAATTTCTTTGACACGTAGAATAATGGATTATAATCATAGATAAATTAATATAATTGTGAATTGTGATTACTGAAGGAATTCAAAATTGTGATTTTGCGATACGAAATACGAATAGTTAATAGGTACCTACTTCGTCGAGGTCCGTTTGTGCATTCAACGATGATGATGCTTTTTGGGTGAACTGTTTTCAATAAATATATTAAAATTTATTTCCAACTGTTCCAATTCAATATAACGCTATACAATTAGCATTATATTTTTGAGTGAATGGCGATAAACCGCTTTAAGCTTTTACACCATGTATACAACATTACAACAATATTGTTTATTCCTGCACAAGTCCGCTACGCGGGTCAATCGAAAGACCGTTATGCAGTGTCGTACACAAATATTTCCAATGAAAGGGGTTCTGGGGTTATAATAAAAAATTTAAAATGATACATATTAACCACGGCTTTAGACATAGAGCTCTATCTAAAGCCATGATATTAACTAATTTGCTCACATTAAGCAGTTAGAAATATAACCCGAAATTAATTAGTTAGTTATTAGAAGAGATTGTAAGAAATAGCAGTAGCAGTGCTATTTTACATTAGCAACAGCGTCCTGTTAATCAAAAATAATAATAGCAGTGATTGCTATTTTATTTTATTGATATTTTCCCTATTGCCTACCCTGATGATATTGATGAGTGTTAACTGATATGATATTGCTATTTTTCTATTTGCTATTTTGGCATTTTGCTATTTAGGCATTTAGCACATGCTCATCTTAGATCATATAGTATATGATCTAAGATGCTCATAGTGTATAGTGTATTATTTATGTGATATCGAAAAAAAATAGCAATAGCTGCTATTTATCATTGCTATTTTACATTATCAATAGCAATAGCTATTGCTAATTAAATATATAGCATTTTACCATCACTATAATACTTATTAGTGTATATTAGAATCGGGACCAAACAATTTTGTCCATATTACGGGGATGCCCGTCTTAACCGGTGCCCACATTGAGCAGAATCCACTATATTTATGTACACAAACACAATACACAATACACCTAATATTGGGGTTTCGTCAATTGCGCTGAATTTGGGACACTACCTGTATAGTGTACATCTATTGTGCTGGTATTAAAAAAGTCATATTAAAAAGTAAATTTAAATAAAAATAATTTACATACATATATTAAATACAAATTTATCTTTCTGATGAAGTTATTAGGAGGATTATGTTCATGTTTAATTTCTTCAAACAAAATTGTAGTTTTACCCTCATCTACGTACAGCTTAGAGTTGCAACTTTTGTGTGCGCACCGCCATTTATGCCCTTTTTTGGTAAGTTCCTTATAAGAAAATTTATAATTTTGATAAATAATTAGTTCTTTACCACGTTCACTTAATACAATTTCCATTATAAATTTAAGCACGAGCCAACGACTATAGCCAACGCATGGAATTGTATTGAACAATACTATTTATTTACCTATAACCTAACATGGTGTTTGT